TCATACGCCACGTTCTTCGTTCCACACACTCTAAGTGTGATTCATCATGCGAACCGATTTTGATGTTTTTATTGTTTGGTGTTTTGTTTGTGTTTTTTTTTTGATTTTTTTGTGGTTTTTTATGTTGTCTTCTGTTTATTTTTTTTGTTTATGTGAGTTTTTTTTTGTGGTTTGTGTGTTTGTTTTTTGAGTTTTCGATCGAACTGTTCCTTACTGAAGCTATACATCAAAGCACCTTCCTATTGTCCACCAAATGTAGTCTACTGGTTCGAACACACCCCCCGTATTATACTCTTACATACACCTACGACTACAATAGGGGGCGCGGAAGCTTGGAGCTTGTCCTGGCTGAAGTGGTGCCCGTTGGGAATACGTGCTGAGCGGAAAACAGCAAAGCCGACATTGCAGCTGGAATCTACGCCGGCGGAAGATCATGCCGCCTACCGCTATAAACATGTACTATACTAAAACAAATGAACTTATCAGATGACACGCGCCCCAAAATAACGAATCATTAATCAGTATAGTAATAGAGATTACATCAAAATAGGTCCTCTAAGGGTTATCATTTTCAACTTCATTCTTTCAACTCAATTCTAACTTCCTACGCACAAGTACGGTTACTTAATTATTATTTATTGCACCTTACCAACCTTCTAACTTTCAGCCAATCAACTAGCAAAACAAAATGTACAACTCAACAATATCCTGCGCGAAAATCTATTATCATAAAATTCATTGACTTAAAATAAAAATAGCAATCTCGAGCATTTAATAACAAAATTGAACTATTAAAGAATGAGATGTTGCTATAAAAATATCCAGTGTTAAATAATTGAAGGGTGTTGAAAAAGTTATCTTTGATTTCAGAAATTCTAGTTAATCAAAACATTATTACGACATATGTCAACATGTCTTACCACTCTTCAAACAAACAACAAGAGGTTTAAGAAAATCTTTTATCATCATTTTTTCCATTCAGAATACTAGAATTGAAAAAGTTACACTTATTATTTAATATATATTACTTAAAGTATACATTATCTGAGGAATGATTTCATTAAGAAAACCTCCATTGTAGGGAGGCTAAAAATTACAATATTACATTTTCAAAATCTGGCACAAAATTCTTCGCAGAGTTTCTGACATTCGACAAAGCCATAATATGCTGTTGGTCCTTAAAAAGAGCAAAAAATACAAAGACGACATTTTGGAGATATTTTGAGAAAACTTGAAAACGTTCAGGGGTTTCTCATACAGAACCCTCTATGGAAATATTCGTTTCAATTAGGGAGGCAGGGATTTAATTTTGGTGAAAATTTGCGTACGTTTAGGCACTGACACTCCACTGGCAGACGTTTATAAAAACAGCAACTTTTTTATCTAGAGCGGGTGCAAAAGTTGTTCTGTCAAATCCACATCAACTTTTTGCAGCATTACCAAAAACACTTCTCGACACGTTACGATAAAGTAGAAAAAGTTTTATTGAGAATCTTGTAGGGTCAAACTCAAAAAAATAAACGAGTTCAAAGACAAAATAACTTGTAAGCTGACCATTCATTGCACGACGGGTGCCATAAGTTCTGAAACAAATTCTCTGACTTTTCCCAGTTCCCCAATATAAAAAACAATCACTGGTAAGATAATTTGCTCTCATTTAAAGAAAATATAAAGCAAGCCCATGAAAATAATTTGTCAGCTCTCTGAGTCGCCTATGATGATATACAAATGGAAAAAAGGTCAAAAAATAAATTGACTATAAAAATATGTCCTGGCTATAGGATAATTGTGCGTCATAGACTGTTATTTTAAAAGATGCGCGAAGACGAATATAATAATTGCTCCAAAATAAAACAATCCAATCTACATGATTAATTAATATACCCA